AACAAGACCAAGGCGACCCCTGCCACGATATCCGTGAATTTCTGCAACATCAGAGGTCTTCACTGGAACCTAAACGCCGTCCACTACCATCTCGAGACGGCGAAGCCGGCCTTGCTCTTACTTAAAAAGAGACACACACTTAAAAAGAAGTATAACTTCGCCTCCAGGTCCTTCAAAAGAGTTATGGCGATATTCAAACTAGTTCGCCTTTCTTCGGGAACCCGTGCATTCTGGTCTCTTGCCAAGGCTGTCCAAGGGAATTTCTGTAAGCCATTACTACCATCTCTGCACAGGGAGGACGACTCACTGGCCTAAGACGCAAAAGACAAAGCCGACCTTTAAGGCTCCCTTTTTGTGTCCAACTCGACTCTTGATGACGGGGGAAAGACACCGCCGACCATCCCGCGGTGTGAGTGCTCCATGCCGGATGTGCTGTTCTCACAGCGCTCGGTTCGCAAAGCACTCCTCTCCCTGAACATCCAGAAGTCGAGTGGGCCTCACGGAATCCCCCCAATCATGCTGAGGACGTGTGCTCCGGAGTAGGCACCGGTTCTAACGCGTCTTTTCCGGTACTTCTACTCCCAATGGAAGACAGCTGTTGTCCACCCGATCCCTAAAAAAGGCGACCGCTCAGACCCTTCCAACTATAGGCCTATGTCTGAAGCCGAGTCTTTGCTGAACAAAGTCATCTGAGACTTTACCGCTAAAAAGAACCCCTTTGTCGTATCTCCTCGGTTTCAAGCATGAAGCAAATACGGAGAGAGAACAGGCCGTATTCTATATTTATATATTTATATATTCTATTGCTATATTTGTTTTGCAAAAGAGAGCCGTACGGGCGATTTATAATCTAAATTGTAAAGAGTCCCTTAGAGAAAAATTTAAAGAAATAAACATATTAACTTTGGCATCGCAATATATTTATGAAAATGTAATGTATGTACATAAAAACATAAATAGCTTTAATAAGAATAAGGATGTTCATACCTTAAACACTAGGAACAAACATAAGCTTGTAATGCCACTTACAAGACTCCACAGAATTAGTAATTCATTTATGGGGCAATGTATACGCTTTTACAACAGAATCCCAGAACATGTTCAAAGTTTGTCAATAAACAAGTTTAAAAGTTTTATTAAAGAAAAACTGTACAAAAAGGGTTATTATAATATCAAGGAATACATGAGTGAAAATAACCCCTGGGAATAAGGTGATCGCCACCATGCTGGTTCTATGAAAATTCATTTAAAATTGTATAATCAAAATTATTGTTAAGTGAAATTATGTTTAAAAAAAAAAGTCCCGCTGGGTTTCTTGCTGGTTCTTCCCAGGACAGAGGTATTTTCCGAACCAGTGGTAAATAAAATAATGACTTTCAATAAGTATTATGTAATAATCCATATTGAATAAAAATCATTCCATTCTATTCTATTCTATTCTATTGTCAAGTAAACCTCATAAAAATAACAAAAAGACAGGGCGGTAATTAGAATTCAATTATTTTACCCAGTAATCCAACTTTAATATTAAAATGATAGAAATTGTACATAGGCTGATTTTTACGAAATGTTTAAGTTATATTTAAGTGACATTCTATATGCAAATAATCACTTAAATACAAGTGATTATTTCTTTTCCAGTAAATATGGTCTCCGGTTCTCTATACTCACCATACGAAACACAGCAGTGTTAAGCTGCTTTTTCACGCTGGTATTCTGTGAGAGCGTGGTCCTTCCTCGGTCGAGCCGACCCATTAGTGCTACAACTATACTACTAATATAGCTGCAGCATGGCTCTAACACGTTTAAAACGTTATTTTAATTTTTAATTGAAGAACACCATCACTTTAACCACATCCTATCAAAAGTTTACTGCTGAACATAAGCTCCCCGCTTAGATTGCATTGTAGGCAGGATATTTGGCGCAATGGGCAGGCAGGTTGCCAATCGCAGTTTTTTTTTTATCATTTTAATTTGTGTCTGGAAAACGCTGTGCCTATTTTCTAATCCATTGGAACAATCCAAACATCCTCCGTTGCCCTTATTACGGTACACTACTTACACCCACAGTACGGTATGGGGTAGTTATCAAAGATACTATTCGTGAATAGTAATGTGATTTCATAGCATAAATTTATTTCATTAATAAAAAATGGCAAAACAAAAAACAATCAGAGCCTCTCAGCAAATATTTGATTTACAATCACGCTGCAGAAGGAAAATTGAAATTCGTTCTATTTCCATTTTAATCTCATTACATTACTCCCGGAAACGTTGGCACTTGAAAATCACTAATATTTTTTTCTTAGCATGGCAATAGCAACGCTATAATATTTTCTTTACGTTTTTGAACATAATTAACATAATAAATTTATTTATTTAAGTCATTTTACTGTCTTTGTATTTTATTTATTATTTTATTTTAATCATAATGATTTCTTATATTTACGCGAACACTACACATTGAATAAAACTACTTTTACGGATTTTATCGCGTATAATTTACTTATTTTATATTCCTGAGGTTTCGGTTGCTTTCCAGCAACCATAGTCACTGGGGACTGAGGTGATTGACGTCCCGATGTCAGAGTTAACCCGGAGGATCTTCAGCTTTTTTAGTCATTAATTTTGTTCCGATCTACGCAGAATGAACTTACTGTGTCTTGAAGTCTTGCAGTGGTATGCTTGGATTTAGTTTTAATTTTATGAATTACAGGATCCCAAGAATCTCTATTGAAATTAGGATGTTGTTTTTTTAATTTCAATAGCCTCACGTACCATCCTTGGTAGGAATCGATGTTCTTTCGCGAGAATTTGTGGTTTATCAAATCTAATGTAATGGCAGGGGCTCTAGAATATGATCACAAAAGGAATTCTACAGTTTCCCGTGATCATGGTTGCTGGCAAGCAACCAAAACGTCGGGAATATAAAATAAGAAAATCAGCGCGATAAAATCCGTAAAAGTAGTTTTATTTAATATTTTAGTCATATTATCGTTAACATTACACGGGGTAGTGGTATTAGATAGAGGTATTAGATTCTTACACCGCCAATATATTATGGTACATAATTTTACTTTGTATATATTATACATATGGCATTTAAAGTTATTTAATTCTTCTACATGTAATTTTATTTTAAACTTGCTTTTGCCCGCAACTTTGTCCGAGTGAAACTTAAACAAAGAACCTGCAGATCTCTAACAGTTGCAGTTAGGCGAGAAAGAACAATGCCAGGCTTTCATATATAAAATTAGTTGAGAAGGAATGGTAGCGTCTATATATCAAAAATATCTTAAAATATTAAGCGTCAGTTCCTTAATAACTCTGTCAAAGAATTTTGTCCTGAGAAGGCGTAAAAAAAAGACATTTAGGTTTGAGCCTTTTTAGGTTATGTCATAGGCCACTTGGAAAAAGTCATACGTCCTGTGGTTGTTTGATCTTAGCTTAATACATACTCAACATAATGTACCTACCTACATAATTGAGAGTTTTTAGATTTTTGTATCTCTATTATATATTTGCATACTATATATGTATATTTCTGGCATGGCTCCTTTGCATGAGCCTTTGTGTCATACAGTGACATTTTGCTTTAGCTAGTGTTGTGATAACATTAAACAAAATTGTTACTTATTACTATGATTGAGATAATGTATTATTGTAGGAAGTTCTTTGTTAGCGACTTGTTTTCAACCATATCACTATTATTTTTATTATTACTGATAGTACGAGTATATTTATTACTTATAATATCTTAATACAAAAATATTTTGTGTTTGAGTGTTTTGTTGGTAGTCTTAAAAATATAGTAAAATGGCAACACTTGAATAGAGTAAAATGATTTAAGTCATTTGATATTCCCAAAAATGTTTTTTTTTTCTGTGGCTTAAATTAAAATACATTTTTATTTGAAAAAGCATAGAAAATAATAAAACTCATTTCATATATAACTTATTTCTAGACGTAATAATTTTTGTCAACTATTTTTCTGCCATTGTTCTTTATGTATCGTAAAACCACATCCGCCTCAGTTTCTTGCTAATAGCAACGAAATACGAATAATAGGTCGAATATTATGTTAAAATGCTTAAAATAAAAATTAAAGATCGTTACGTAAAAGTTAAAACTAAAAAGAAGCCGTGATAGCTCAGAGGCTAAGCGCTCGCTGTAAGTTTCACAGTACGCGAGCACAGTAGGGTATGATCTCCGCCGGCACCAATGAAAATGTTAATTGCAATTATAGGTGCTGAAAAACCACGTACTCGGCAGTGAAGGAAAACATCAAGGAGAAACCTGCATCTCTGAGAAAAAAGAAAAAAAATATTACGAACACATTTGATGTGCGCCAACACGCATTTGGGTAGCGCGGCAGATATTTCCTTGCACTAAAACTATCTCAAAAATGAGAGGAGACCTGTGCCCAGCTGTGGGGCGTATATAATTATCGTACATTAGTCCTAGTTTTGCTAAAAAAGGTGTTAAAGTAAAATATGTATAAAAGAAGAATTTTGCATCAAGACTTTAAAAATTAAAAATTAAGGTATGAAGACCCTTTTTTGTAAAATTGTAAACCGAAAAACTTTTTTAAGTTTTTTCAGAAATGTGGATATCCGCAGTAGAACCAGAGTAACCGACAAAGCCCAAAGATTAAAGCCCAACTAGCTGAATTGGCAATGGGCCAGCTCGAAGAACCGACAACCGATGGGTAAGGAAGGTTCTCGAGTGGCATCTCGTACCGGTAGGCGAAGTTTAGGGCGGCCCACCACTAGATGGAGTGACGACCTCGTAAGACATGCAGATGGCACAGGACCGTGCTTTGTGGTATTAGGGGTGGCATTTGTTCAACAGTAGACTAGAAAACGGTTGTAATGGTTATGAATGATTATTTTGCTTTTTTAACGTTGTTCATTTGTTTCCCTGTCATTAGTTCTAATTTAGCTTTATTTTAGAATATCAGTACCGTCGTAGCATCAATGTTGCACAGACTGTAAGAACTATCAACGTCGTGTATAAATGAGATACTGTAGATAAGCGTACGGTACATTTATGGTTACATTGATTTTGTTTTGGGTAATATCAATCTTAAAACTGAGTTCAGAGGACGAACAAAAATGAAGAATAGCAGGCTATAGTGTAAACGGATTCATTTAAAACGACGTCAAAGTTAGCAGCAACTTTTATCGTTATTAATAAAATGATTTTGATTCAATTGGGTTAAACTGGGAAAATAAAGGAGCTCCATAAATTAATACCGTAAGAAATTTCGTGAAGGCAAAAGAAACTTGTGACGAAGCTTGCATTAATTTGTTGAAAACAATAATGAAATGCATTTATGCGTAAAATTATGATGAAACATCTTTTACTGTGAAATTCTTTATTTTGTCTAGTAGCTAATGAGAAAAGCTAAAATAAAATGATGTGTCTTACCTAGTTTAAAGAGCACCTCCCACCCTCCCTCAATTGCGTGCACTATCCCCGTCACCACTAATCGCAGCACCACTGCTCCCAACACCACTACAATAGGAAAGACACACCACTGACGACAATACGACACGTGTTTCGCCTGATGTAGACTCTGCGGTGACTGACCGCTAAGTGAGCGGCGAGCCAAAACAACTGCTATTTATACAGACCGCTGTCCGCGTCTTCCCATTTCAATCATGAGTTCCCTGTTTTTAATTCACTTAAGCAGAGAATATGGGAAAATGACCTTATTGTTACCAAAGCCGATAAGGGCAATACTGTTGTCATTGTGGAGAGTAGTGAGTACAGCCGGAAAGTTAAAGATGTTACCCAAGGTGATGACTTTGAGCTATTCGAGTCTGACCCAACCAAAAAGTTTACTTCGGATATTAATCTATGTATACAACATGCATCATATGCGTTTCACCTCTACACGAGGCATCTTCAGGTGATGTAGACTCTGCCTTCAAATAATTTTTCCGGGTCTGGATGTTTTACCTCGTGCAATATATGTTTGTACACTGCCTCCAAGATACAGGAGAAAATCCTAGTGAGGAGGCAACGCTTTTTTAACAAAAGAAAAAAAGAATTATGTCGTCTACATATCGATAGTATTAAAAGTTTTTTTGATTGACAACTACGAAATTATCCATCAAAATGTCAACCATAAGGTGACTTACAGGGGACCCCATAGCTAATCCTTATTTTTGTAGATAGAAACTTTTTGTGGTCACGGGGGGGGGGGGGCTGAGGTGTTTGATGTCCCGATGTCATAGTTAGCCCGGCTACCTTTTGGACCGATCTACGTAGAATGAGCTTACAGTATCTTGAATTCTTGCAGTGTTATGCTTGGGTTTGGATTTAATTATAATAACTATAGGATCCCACGCAGATGGCAGCACCCATCCATCTTCTCTATTGAAATTAGGATGTTTTTTTTTAATTTCATTAGTCTCGCGAATCATCCTTGGTAGGAATCGGTGTTCTTTTGCGAGGATTTGTGGTCTGTCAAATCTAATATAGAACATGTTCACACACTACAGACTTCCCGGAACGTCGGTGCTTCAAGTCAGCTATATGTTTTCTCACGCGGGTTTTAATAGATGTTTTTATTTGTCCTATGTAAGAGAGACCACAAATCCTCGCAAAAGAACACCGATTCCTACCAAGGATGATTCGCGAGGCTATTGAAATTAAAAAACATCCTAATTTCAATAGAGAATATGGATGGGTGCTGCCATCTGCTTGGGATCCTATAATTAATAAAGTTAAATCCAAACTGAAGCATACCACTGCAAGACTTCAAGATACTGTAAGCTCATCACGTAGATCGGACCAAAATTTTATATTCAAAAACTGAAGGTAGCCGGGCTAACTATGACCACGGGGATGTCAAACACCTCATTAAATTATCAACGTCTAAAGATTACAATATGGATTTAGGTGGAATACGTATATATTTAATTTTGGAAATGAGATCTAAGCTATTTTTTAGGTTGTAAGTGGGGTTGAATCCAGACTTCTCTCGAAGAAGGAAGTTTAATTTTTTAGCAAGGAAGTAAGCTGGTGTACCTATATATGAGACAACTAGACGAAAAGGACCATGTTATTTATGTATTTTTGGTAATCCATATAAAATGGATGCTTAAGGATTTATTAACAAGACTTCTCCGAGACAATTTGTGATCAGGAAATACATATGATGCCTGTTGTATACATAGCTTAATATCTGAAGTATACTTTTTGGTTGGGTCAGACTCGAATAGCTCAAAGTGATCACCTTGGGTAACATCGTTAACTTTCCGGCTGTACTCGCTACTCACCACAATGACAACAGTATTACCCTTATCGGCTTTGGTAACAATAAGGTCATTTTCCTATATTCTCTGCTTAAGTGAATTAAAAACAGGGAACTCAGGATTGAAATGGGAAGACGCGGACAGCGGTCTGTATAAATAGCAGTTGTTTTGGCTCGCCGCTCACTTAGCGGTCAGTCACCGCAGAGTCTACATCACCTGAGGATGCCTCGTGTAGAGGCAAAACACGTGTCGTATTGTCGTCAGTGGTGTATCTTTCATAGTGTAGTGGTGTTGGGAGTAGTGGTGCTGGGATCAGTGGTGACGGAGATTGTGCACGTAATTGATGGAGGGTGGAAGATGCTCTCTAAACTAGGTAAGATACATCATTTTATTTTATCGAGCGGATGTACGCGAGGTAACCTTTTAAAAACTTTAATATAATGGATTTCCGCAAAGCAACGTTTGATTCTATTAATTATGATGGTTTGGTTTTGATGTTTTGCTAAAGTTGTGCATAGTATTTATTTTTTTAACAAAAAGCCGAAATAAAATGGCCATTGGTTTGAAATAAAAATAAAATGAGGTGAACTGGCATGCGGCTCACCTACTACCTACCTACGGCAGGTAAATACCGCCGCCTATTAACATCCTTACACTAGAGGAATTTTGGATATATTTTATATTATATGCCTTTTTCACACTAGTTTGCTCATTTTTATGCTTTGTGTACCTTTCTATTTGTAGTAACGATTAATACTTTTAAGCAAGTTTAACTAGATAAGTTAAACTTGCTTAAAAGTATTAATCGTCAATTTCACAAACATAATTTTGATGTGGCATAAACAACTCCCAAGAGTCATATTCTTACAGCGACTAACAAGTAGACAATAAATGTGTATGATAGAATTAATATTTCTGTAAATAGAAGGTAAATATTTTCCATTTTACTGCTTATACATTAAAGCGTAAGAAAAATAAAATTTATCAGCTCATTTTTCATTTATGAGAACATCCCGAAATAATATACCATTCATATATCCATTACATTCAATAAAAGTCCGCTGCTGAACATAGGACTCCCCTAAGATTTCTTTATAGTAGGATTTTCTCTTACGACAAACACAGGACGCTATAGGTAATGGATATTCTCACACCAGCACTATAAACCACACTAATATGGATCAAGTGCTATTTTTGTGTGTTGTGTGAGTTTTTGTTTTGAAATGAAAATAAGCAGCGTTCAGGGCATTGATCTCACGAGTAGCTGCTTCTCACTTGTTAAACTCTCTATTGCGGTCTCCCGTGTCAACGAAGTTGCCGATTTATATTTTTAGCACCACGAAACTAAATCTCTATCCAAAATTGCTTATGAGATGATTGAGAGGCTTTTGATACGGTATTTCTTTAATGACTGCCTCGTTGTTCTAGTGGTCGTAAACGCGGTTGTTGATACGATATATTGGACAAAATTGGTAAAATAGAATAGAATAATTTTTTATTCAATAAAGATAACATGTAATTATTTTTGAAATAAATTTATTAGTTTAACTAATAACCTCTGTGCTGGGAAGAACCAGCAAGAAACCCAGTAGGACCTTTAAAAAATTATACAATAGGAAAGGTTTCACAAACTATCTACAAAATTTATTTTAGAAACAGCTTGAAAGCGACAACCTCATTCCCAGTGGTAATTATCAACAATATATTATTTATGATAACACTTATAATATAGTTTTTTTTTATAGAACAGGGGCCAAACGAGCAGCGGCTCACCTGGTGGTAAGTGACTACCGCCGCCCATAAACAACTGCAACACCAGGAGAACCAGAGGAATTAAAGATGCGTTGCCCGCCTTTTAAAAAAGAAGTAGGCTCTTTTCTTGAAGGTCCCTAAATCGTATTGGTCCGGAAAAATCGCTGATGGTAATCGATTCCACAAGGAAGTCGTGCGTGGAAGATAACATGTTCTAAATCGCACAGTGGTGGACCGCCAACCACCCATATTGTGTGGATGGTAAACATTTTTTTTTATTTATTCATAGAAAGAGTGTTACATAATTTACATTTCAAACTTTGCCAAACTGTATGCCAGTTTGTCGGCAAATACAAAGGGATGCAACATTTCTTCGCAGCGCCAATGAATCGAGCTGATCGGAATGGACTCGGTCGTCGACGATTCGAGCCGCTCTGCGCTGGATGGGGTCAAGTGGAAGGAGCTGAGGTGTCCCGGCCCAGAGATGGGAACAGTATTCCATGTGAGGCCGAACCTGCGCCTTGTAAAGTTGCAGGCGTTGTGCCGGCATGAAATACTGTCCCACTCTGCTGAGCGTGCCAAGCTTTTTAGAGGCCAATTTGGCCTTCTCTTCCAAGTGACCACGAAACTGCACGTCACTTGATACGTCGATGCCGAGGATTCCGAAACTGGATGAGGCAACAAGAGGAGTGCCTTGAAACTGAGGATATACAAACAAAGGACAAAGGGGTTCTTTTTAGCGGTAAATGCGTAAACTTGTGCCTTCTGAGGATTAAATTGGACTATATTTACAATACTTGTTAGTTTCATACTAAAAAAAATAACAAGTAAAAAAATTAAAACCTCGATTAACCCAATTTTTGCTAACCCATTTTACTCAGTTCAAATGTTTCAGTCTCAAGACAAGGTGTGACAGATCAAAGATCGGACATTGGCAGAATTATTGTGACATAACCACAATACCAAGGGCCATATTCATGAAAAAAGAGGATTGTTTGTTTTGAACACTACTTGAACGCCGTTGTGTCGAAGAGTATCTGCTACTTTTTCAGATAAGTGACGCTCTGAATATAATGCCCAACAACTCAACTGGAAGTGGAAGTACACTTGTTCCGGCGGGTTAGAAAATAGTAGACCGTACGGGCGAAGTCACTGGTGTTCGCTAGTAACTCATAGAAATAACCTCCAACAATACAAATAAACGTTTTCATGTACACCAATTTTTGTACAGTGTGGGAATCGAACCAAATCCATCAGGCTTTGTAGTCCGCTAGTGGTACAAACTACTGGATCATTGCGATCGACGCCATTGGTTAATTAAGTTGATATAATATAAAAACTTAAGAGAAGTAGGAACTAATTTGGTTAGACTAAACATTTGGACCTTTCGTGGGGAGAATCGGGGCATTCAGCGGTTTGTAGCTCGAACGCAGCGAGATCAAGTGACGCAGTATCCCCAATTCTATCCTACTCAGATTTCCTCACAATAAATGATGTCACTAAAATTAAATTAAAAAATTCAATAGTGTCAGTGGGTTGATCATTTATGTCCGATTCCTATATTCAATTTAAAAAAAATGTTCTCTGATTCCTTCGTCGGTCTCCATTTGTGGCTGCAGCTATTTAATTTGAATTTAAAAGCCTTGACATGAATTTGAAGAACAAATATAAATTGTACAATACTTCAGAACTCCTCGTTTGGTTAGTAAAATGGAAAGGCGTTATCGACATCCAGTAGTTTAATTTGTCTTTGGATGCTACAGATTAAGGTGAATTTAGGCATTTGCTAGCGTTAATTTACTTACTATGTTTATCCAATATTACATTACCATATTTTTAAGTTGGTTTGAACAATCATCATCCTCATCATTAAATTTTATTAAAGTCCACCACTCACGTAGGCCTCCCTACAGATTACCTCAAAAGGGGGAACTTAACTAGGTTGGTAGGCACATTTTTTTCTAGCTATAATAAGGAAACACTATGCCCATTTCCTGGTTTGTTTCCCTTTGTCCCCTCTTACGTGTTTCCCTCTAACTTATCTTATATGTATCTACTCTCTTGTATTTATGCTAATTGTGTCATATTATTTTATAAAATAACCGTAAAGATCTCATTGGAAGTAATAATTCTTGAACCGCAAATATTGTTGTTTTTTTTTAAGTAAATAATCTGGCAAAGTATACGGGGATATACAATAATCGCTTCTTAAAAGGTTTGTGATATTTGGATCTGATCAAAAACGGATAATGTATAATATTCTGTTATTTTCCTATTTAGTGATATTATCGTGAATTTGCTCATTCTATGATCATTAAGGAAGATATATGGGGACTGAAATTACCATAGAAATAGAGTTACAAGGCAATTTAGTTCGTGTGCAAATTCTATCACCACTTGTAACTAAACTGTCACCGCTTGTTATGCCGCTTGATTACTATGGCCGGAACATTTTGCATTTAAATTAGAACTTTCATTAAATTCGGTGTTTCGGAATATGTTCACTTGAAAAATCATAATTCTAGGAAGATTTAAAAATCGAACATTATAGCCGACCGCTTCAATCGTAAAGCTTTGTAGGAAGTGAGTATTCATGTGTAAATAATAAACTATTAGCCTTTCGTCCTGAATGACCTTGCGATCCAGTCGGCGTAACGTTACATCAGTTACATAAAGTTTAATTAGTGGTTAGTGCTGGCAGCAATTCCGTTTCGTTTTAGACTAATAAAATATTGTAGTTAATTAAATTAATGAACTGCCAAGTGTGATGGCGGTGTAATTGAATCTGTCACCTCATTTCGTCCCGTAGATCTCGTAAAACGTGATTGTGGAATACGCCAAAGAGATATACGGACTGAAACTAAGTTAGAATAATTGAAAAGATGATGCTTGTAGGGACGGAGATGAAATTATTTGTCACACACGATTTAATTATAAGTTTTTCGGTTTCGGTTGTGTGTTTATACACAAACAAATGCCTCAGTGCTGTTTCCTTGAATGTTTTACACATTTTTAGCTTTGTTGGTTTTATTTTTCTACTTTTGAGAATATCCGTGGTTTAGTTTTTCTATTTCTTATCTAAATAATATAGAATGTAGCTTATGTTTCAGAAAGAAATATTAATCTCTAACCGATATAATATGCCGATAAACACTAGATTTTATGTCAAAGTTTATGATGTGTTTGTTTCGATTGATCGTCATTACAACCATTCAAAGTCCATTGTTGTGTGAAGGAATATATCCTTAATTGCCACGCTTGGCAGTTTGTTGACAACCTTAGTTTTTTTTATTATTTTGAGTTGTTATCAAGAAGAGTTTTCTGTTTGTTGAGGACATTTTGAACGCTTTTTTTTTTTTTGCGGATGGAAAATCATCAAATGACGCCTTTCGCTCTGGGTGGAGCGGAAGGGAGTGTCAGACTTTTACTGACCGTGTAAAACCATCCGTGTTCCTTCAGTGCCCTTACGTTCCGGAGCCGCGGTATCTCTTTCGAACAGCCCGCAGCCCCGGCAGGCGTCGGCCCTTGCGGGCCCCTTCACGCTGCTGACAGCTCTATGAGGCGCGCGTGGAACAAAACGCGCCGTCGACACGGCCTGTCGTCGTTAGACGGACGGACGGCGAGCTACCCATTGCTCGCCGTCCACATGCCCGCGCCTACGGTGGCCGGGGGCCACGACGTAGCCCCCGACGCCTGGGGCGTCTCCCGCGGCGGCCGGGAAGGAAAGCTGCTGCTCTCTCCTTCTCCCGCTCCGCCACCTCCTTCGCTAGCATCACTGCTTCGCAGAAGGTGGTGACGGCATCCCATTCTGTCTCGCTCCGGACCATGGCTTCGACCAGGGCCGGACGCGAGAGGTCGCCGCCGCCTATCGCCGCTACGAGGACACGGCGGTGCCCCGCCCAGGCAGGGCACACCTCCACGGTGTGCTCCACCGTGTCCTCCGGTCGATCCTCGCAGTGGGAGCACCCGGACATTTCCTCCCGCCCGATTCGGTGCAGGAACCTCCCGAACACATCGTGTCCGTTGAGGACCTGCGTCAGGCGGAAGGTGAGGACGCCGTGGCGTCTCTCAAGCCACTCCTCAAAGAGGGGTCTTATCGCCGCTATAGTGGCGTGACCAGCACGGGGTTGCGACAGTCGCTCTCTCCATGTCGCCATGAGATCATGCCGGAAGTCTGTCCGCTGCACGACAACTTGCCGCGGCAGCGGGGTTTCCCCCCGGCATAGTGCCTCCGCGCGCCATTCGTGCAGGCGCGCGAGGACTATCGCTTCCAGATCCCATGGCGGCAATCCGGCAAGGAGGCACGCTGCCTCGCGGGAGATCGTGCGGTAGCCGCGAACCATTCTTACGACAACCACCTTTTGGGGCGCGTTCAGGTGGTGGACGGCAAGCCGCGCCAAACCACGCGCCAACACCGGGGCCCCGTAAAGGGCCATGGACCGCACAATCCCCGCGTAGAGCCTCCGGCAGGAGGCGTTTGGCCCCCCCAGGTTCGGCAGGAGCCGCCTGAAGGCAGCCCCGGTCCGTTCCAGTTTGGGAGCCAAACGTCGGAAGTGCTCAACGAAGTTCCATCGGCCGTCGAGGACGAGTCCTAGGTACTTCAACGTCGACTCGACGCCGATGGATACCCCTCCTACCATCGCTGAGGATCCCGGTGGTGGCCTGTTCCGAGGACCATGGAAGTGCATGGCCTCGGACTTGTGCAGAGCCACCTCAAGACCCAGCTGCCGGATCCTCTCAACGACTATCGCAACCCCGCGTGTCATATTTTCCGCCGCCGCCTCGTACGACCCCCCCTGTGCCAGTACCAGCGTGTCGTCAGCGTAGCAAACTACGCTGACGCCGGTAGGGAGGTCGGCGCGCAGCACCCAGTCGTAACCGATGTTCCACAGGGGCGGCCCCAGAACCGAACCTTGTGGGACACCGCACGACATCTCTCGCCGGTTCCACTCATCGTTGCGACCGGGTTAGATGACGGCCCTATCCGTCAGATAGTCCCCGACTATACGACGGAGATAGGTCAGCACCCGGTGATACCGGAGTGCCTCCCTAATGCAGCTCCAGGGCATGGAGTTGAAGGCGTTGGCGATGTCGAGAGACACCGCCAAAACAACCCCCCCCCTGGCCACTGCATCCCCCGTCGTGAGGGCTCTCACGCACATGATGGCGTCCACCGTAGACCACCTCTTGCGGAAACCAAACTGGTGTTCCGCAAGATCCGGCCCCGTCCCCGCAAGGTGCTCGGCGAGGCGGTTTGCAATGACTCTTTCAAAGAGCTTGCCCACCTCGTCGAGCAGCACCACGGGCCGGTATGCGGACGGAGAGTCCGCAGGGCGCCCCGGCTTCCGAATGAGGACCAGCTTCCCCGTCTTCCAACGAAGCGGGAATTGGCCTCTCTCCAAGCATGCGCTTAGGAGCCCCTCCAGTCGGGGCCCGAGAGCCTCCGAGGCCAGGACCCAGGCTTTGCCAAGCAAGCCATCGGGTCCTGGGGCGGTATTCCTGGCCTTAAGCCTACGTACCGCCACTCTCAGGTCTACCCCGGTCCCTTCCGGGATGCCGTCGTCGTCGTCCTGGTGGTCCGCTTCCGGCACCGCAGGTGGCGGAGCCATAGGCGGGGGCGGGTGTTCCCCTCGCGCAGGAAACAGAGCGCTCACCACGTTCTCCACGAGCTGAGGCCGAAGACTCTGCGTCAGCGGGGGAGCCCATGTGCGGAGTTTATCCCGCACCATCTTGTAAGGGCGCCCCCACGGATCTCTGTCGAGAGTCTCCAGCATCTCCTCACGGGCCCGATCCCGGGCCCGCATGACAGCCTCCCGGAGGGCGGTCTTCGCCGCTCTGTATCCCTCGTACAGCTCCGCCTCAATGGCTGCCGCATTCGGTGGACGAATGCGGAGCCTGCGATGCCTGGCGTACAGGTGCCGCGCGGCGACAGACGCCTCGCGTAGAGACGTCAGCTCACGCGACCACCAATACACCTGGCGCCGGGCGCTTCCTGGCTGGACGCGGGGCATTGCCACGTCACATATCTCGGACATGGCCTCCTGGAACCACGCTGCCTCATCATTGACGTCGGCAGGCCTATCCGGTGATGACACCCAGGCCTGCACGATCGAGGCTTCCAGGAGGAGCTCCCGGTCCAGCTGCTTCAGCGCCCAACGCGGACCGCTCGGGGCCTGTTGGACTGGCGCGCTCGAGGGCTGGGTGGAGACGTCAAACCGGATGTACCGGTGGTCGGAGTAGGTCTCCACCCCCTCCATGACTCGCCAGTCAATGGCACGCGGCGACAGAGCGGGGCTAGCGAACGAAATGTCCACCACCGACTCGCCCCGCATCCGCACACACGTGGGGACAGAACCCCGATTTAGGACGACCAGGCCTGTCTCCAGAGCCCAGTCTTCCACCATCCTACCCCGCACATCTGTATGACGAGAACCCCAAGCCAAGTCCTTGGCATTGAAGTCCCCGAGGACAAGCACGGGGAGGGGATAGCTTCCGACGACGACTGCTCTCAGCTCTGCAAGAGAGTTGTGGAGCTCGGCGAGAGATCGGTTCGGGGAGAAGTACACCCCCACAACGACGAACTCCCTTAACCGTGCTGCTACGCACCCCTGACCCCCCCTGACACCTTCAAGGGTCGGGGTACCGGCGGCGGCCGAAGAAATGATGGCCACTGAGCCGTTAAGGTCCGCCACCCAGTCCTTCCTAGGCCAGACAGAATACGGCTCAGCGACCACAGCGATGTTAATCGACCACTGCGCCATGCTCTGGAGCAACAGATCCTGAGCGCAGGCGCAGTGGTTGATATTCGCCTGGAGGAAGCTTAATGGGGCCGTTATAGGCATTCCATTTCAGCTTCCTCCACGGGGCGCCCCTCTGCAGGCGTCGGTGTCGCGGCGGCGGCGGCGGCGACAGTGACAGCGGCGGCGGCGGCAGTTGCAGCTGCGGCGGTGACCATAGAGGCGGTGGCGGCGGAGGAGGGCACTCCCCTACCCGCGGCCTTGGCCTTGGCGGGTGACACGCAGGCCCTGCTCCCGGCCCAGTGATCGGCTGGCTTGCCGGTCGCCGCACATGCATCACAGTGCGGCGTGGCACAGCAGGTCGCCGATATGTGACCGGGCTGACAGCAGCGGAAGCAGAGGCCACTGCGGTCAACCTCCGAGACGCATTTCGCTGATATGTGATGCCCCACGAGACAGCGGTAGCACCTCAGAGGTCTGGGCTCCAGCAGCTTAACCTGCGCTGAGACCCAGCCCACCAGAAGCCTTCGGCCCTCCACTATGGTTTTGGCCGCCGTAACAGGGCAGCACACCGTGGCGGCATACATACCCTGTTGGTCCGGGCGTATGGCGCCTGACCTGACCTGGTCAGTAGTGCACCCCCCGGACCTGGCGACGGCGGCCACCAACTCCTCCTCCGATACCGAGTCGTCCAGACCCATGATGCGCAGGTCTGTGCATCTGACGGGCCTGGACACTCGGGCCTCGTCCGCGTTCAGGGACGCTCTGAGCTTCGCAGCCAGAGCGTCCGCAGTCGCGCCACTGGATTCCCCGGGGATCTCCAGCATACGGGCCCCCGTCTGGGTGACTTTGAGCCGGAGGCCCCCAGTGATCCCGAGCTCCCCGAGATCCACCGCCTCTTTCGCCTTCGCGAGCAGATCGCGGTAGGTAACGCCCTTCTTTTCCGCGTCCGGCTGTAGTGTAATCACTACAGCTGCGGTCTTCGGGGCGCGGAGCCTAGCCGCGATCTTGCGCGCCCTGAACTGGCGCTGCCGCTCCTGCTCTTTGGCCTTTTTGGCTGCCTTCTTCCCCTTCTGTTTGTCCCCGACCACCTGCCAACCGGCTTCTGCCGCGGGAGGTGTAGGGAGCTGGGGAGGCGGTGGCGGCGGCGGCAGCTGGCTTGCCGCTGGCGCTGGCCCATTCGCCGCAGGCACTGGGGCTGGCACAGCCATCACCTGTGCTGCCGTCTTGCCCTTTTTCGCCTTCGCCTTGCCTCTCTTTCCCGTCGCCGGCTTAGCCGGAGCCGGTTCAGCCGGTATCGATTTTGCCAGAGCCGGCTTTTCAGGGGGGGGAGGGGCAACTGCAGCCCCACCCGAGGGCTGGCTGGACGGCCCCGGCCTGGATGTGGCAGCCGTGGCCGTCGCGTAGGAAACCGTTGCCGGCCTCGCCGCCGTCTTGCTTGCCCCTAGGGGGGGGGGGGGGCGCAGGGCGATGCACGGAGAACCGGTGCTGGAAGGCAGCCAGCTCCTGCCGGACCAGGTTCAGAACCTGGTTCTCCACCGGCACGGGCTGGCTTGGGCGCTGCGTCTGGGGCGCCGCGCGAGAGGCAGGCTCATGCAGACTGGCCAGGTCTGCGCGGAGCTTCTCATTCTCCTTCTGGAGAGTCTCCATTGCGGACGTCAGGCGGGCCACGTCCGCCCGCAGCTTCGCCACCTCGTCCGCATTAGGCCCGGCCCCAGCAAAGTTGGCCTCCGCAGCCGCCATGATGGAGGCGGAGGCCGCGGGAATGGCCTTGACTTTCGAGGAGGACTTTTGCTTGTTGGCCACGACCTTGATCGCGGCCTCCACCTCCTTTACGAATCTGGCCTTACGCTCCACCTCGGAGCCGCCAGTCGCATCTGTTTCTTCGCCTGATTCCCGAGCCGTATCGTCCGGGTGGCGCCCCTCCTCGGCAAGCTTTGCCGCTCGTTCGGCCCTCTGATTGGCAGAGAGCTCCCTCCCCTTGCCTCTCAGCCCGCCCCGCCTGTTGGTGGGGATTTTCCGGGCCGAAACCTCCTCTTCACCGGATGCCGACCCCTGGTCGCCATCCCGCCTGGACCGCTTGCGGAAGAACTTGCTGATCTCCGCGGTCCCAGGCTCCACTTATCGGTAGCTCTCTGAGCCTACCTCGCCGCTCGATGCGGCGTCGGACTCTGTCCCCGCATCGTTCCTCCTCTCCTCTACGTTGCCTTTGCCGGCGGTTTTGGTTTTTTGTTTTTTTTTTCATTTTTTGTACCCACGAGTATGGGGGAATTAAAGGTCACCTTGGCAGAGACCCCTTACCAAGGTAAGCAGATTTAGAGGATTTATTACTCGCCAGGGGGTCTGCAGGTACCCTGGCGAGGAGCGCACTAACGACTGATTTGTTCATAGAACCCCGTCAGCCATCCATCCCCTCGCGGTGCGTCGCCGCTTGAGATTCGGGGTAACTTTTTATAGAGGTTTTCTCCCTCGCGGTCCGGGCGGTTAAGCCAAGACCCTCGGTCCCTATCAAAGCCGCGAGACGTGATCCACGACACTTCGATACTGGGATTACGAGACCGGCGGTGACAGCAAAGGATGAATCCTTCACTGTCTGCCCGGAGGCAGGGTAAGTGCACACCGAGCCCGCCCTCACTCCTTTGCTATGCCCTCTGCTGATCAGAGGGTCACGCAGTGGAACGCACCGTTGGTCCGGGACGGACCCCCCCCCCCATGTCAGAATAATTAGCCGCGGCAGTACCATTCCCCAAGGAGTAAGAATTTCTTCTCATTTCTCGAGGAAGACTACTGCCGCGCCCAGGGTGCACCGGCCCAGTATCTGCTCTTCCCTCCAGACGTATCGAGAGGGACCCGCAACTACCAGGCACACGTGGAGGACTTCTGACTTCGCACCCCACATTTTGAACGCTGAGATGTATGTTTTAATAGTATAATTAACTTAATTGATGTTGAGTAAATGATGACTGTCTTTTTCTTTTTTTCTTTTCTTTTTTATTTAAAAAGTGTCTAAAAACTGTCTAAAAAGATTACTGTTGTTTGCAGTGTTTTCTACCGACTTCAAACAGGAGGATCAATTCGATTCTCAATTTGACTGTATGTTCTATTTTTTTATGTGTATTTGAAAGCTGGTCCTTTTCATGTAGTACCGTATTAATTTGATCAAGGTGTGACCAATATTTTTTGAGTTATTCTTAATAATTTATATTGAAGTCAGTTGTACAAAATTTTAAATTATTTTTATAGAGTAAGGGTGACAAGCGAGCACACAGTCAACCTGATGGTAAATGGATGCTCTGGCTTATCTTATGTAGTGAATATCTACATTCATCTTTGATAATGAATCAATATGCAAATGTGTTGTTAACTTTTAGGACTATGATGAAATGACTCGTATCCAGTAAAAAGGTTCTACATTTTTTTTTTACACTCACCATAAGAAATATAGCGACATTAAGCTGTTATTTAATGCCGGTTTTATGTGAGAGCGTGGTACTTCCCCAGTCAGCCGCCTCATTCGTGCTGCAACCAGAGAAAAGCTGGAAAATGGATGTATAATTATGCAACATACAACTTTTTATTCAAATCTAGATCAAAATACCGTAAAATCATATCACTCATAAAAATATCTCTGAGTAGTTTGTAGCACGTATAATGTATATATATATATGCATATATATATATATATGTATATATATATATATATATAACTTAAGCAGTATCAATATGTGTGGACAAAAAACGGGAGGATCTACGTCAGGAAGAACGACACATCTCCGGCTTTGCATATATCACAGGAAAGAGACGTTTTAAAATTAATTTAATCTTACATTGTATATTGTTTTGTTCTCTTTTCAAGTACGTTATATTGCTTAAATTTATCAATTCCATCGTTGTAAAAGCAATTCATTGGTCTCTCTTATCTCATTTTGTCTATATTATATATCATTGTTTGACCGCACGTAAAGGGAGCTCAATTAATGAAATATTTTTGGTCTTAAGTGTATTAGTCACACGCGCGATAATTGTGCAGCTAAGTTGCATCCATATTCTTCACGAACGTTACTCAACTATATATATATTATGGTTATATAGTATGGTATCCTTTATATTTAATAAAATACCAATTATATTTTTTCTGGCGTCTTGTATATTAGGTATTAATTTATTTTACTTTGTCAATCTATGAATTCATAATAATTACCCGTTCAATATTTATTTATTAAATCTAACAACAATACTTAAAACGTCTATATTGTTACATTCGCGATATTTATATATATATTTAATAACTGCTCTGCATATTTATAAGCTCGCACCCTTTTATGTTGACTCGACTATATTAATCAAATCGTTTAAGGATTCATTCTGTTATATCTTATTGATAAATTTTATACTCTACCACCTTATACAAAAAATCAAGTCACTATTAACTAGCAACTGCCGAAGTGATATATCATTGTTCGTACTACTTAAGTCTAACGTAAACAAATTATTAGTTCTGTTACTCTGTGTAGCTTTAAAGTACTATAAATTTAACACAATTGGGTACATATTTGATTTTGATTAATGGCTGTAAATAATTTGTACTGTTATTATCAGAATGTTCGTGGTCTTAGGACTAAATGTCTTGAATTACGACTAAATATTTTGACGAACGATTACGACATTATAATTATGACAGAATCATGGCTACACAGTGGAATTTTTGATGGTGAATTGTGCGACGATAGGTATGACGTGTTCAGGGCTGACAGAGATTTGCGTAATAGTGGTAAAAGTACTGGTGGTGGAGTATTACAGTATTAACGAACGACGTACACTCGGTGCCATGTATCGTGACCTCGGCGAATGCGGTCTTACTGAGCTATTGTGGATTACTATTCCTTCAAGCGCGTGCGCTTCAAATTCCAACTTACATATTTGTGTGGCATATATTGCCCCTGACCCTCATCAAATGCCATCGGATCTCGTTTTTATTAAACAAAAAATTAATAGTATTATCGAGCTTTCTCCAAATGATAATTTTGTAATATTAGGAGATTTCAACTTGCCGTTTATTTCTTGGAACCCAAACGGATATAAAACTTTGAAAAAAGGGCCTACTG